GATAGATAGATAGATAGATAGATAGATAGATAGATAGATAGATAGATAGATAGATAGATAGATAGATAGATAGATAGATAGATAGATAGATAGATAGATAGATAGATAGATAGATAGATGGATAGATGGATAGATGGATAGATGGATAGATGGATAGATGGATAGATAGATAGATAGATAGATAGATAGATAGTTTTAACCAGTTTTTACCAGCTTTACCGGTGAATCCTCACCATCTCACCTGGGTAACCGTGGACCAGGGTGGGGGACACCCCCCGGTAGGAGCCCCCGCCGCCCTCGCACATGGCCAGGTATGGGGGGTAGGAGGGGTGCTGGTACTGGATGTAGGGCTGCTGGGGGGTCATGGGGGGGGACACGGCCACCCGGGCGCTCTGGGACTCCTCGGACAGCCCCGCTGGCTCCTGGCTCTGGTCCTCCCCCCCCTCCACCAAGTTGATGGGGGGTGGCAGATCGAGGCAGCCGTGACCTCTGGCCTTTTTGCCGTCCCCACCTCCTCCTCCTCCTCCAGAGGTCATTTTGGCCCCTGTAGGCTCCAGAGTGGCCCCCCACTCTTTCCCAGAGTCGGCCTCGCCCTCCTCGGCCTCGTCCCCGTGTGGACTCTGCAGATCTGAGTATTTGCTGCTGTGAGCCAGGCGGTGAGCCCAGCCGGGGCCGTCTGAGGGCTAGATCGATGGGGACAAGAGTTGGTGCTAGTTGCAGTGTTTCCCCTATAATTCTTTGCTAACAGTGGTGGGTGGGAGTCTCTCAGGAGCCAGTTCAACCTCGGTCCACCTCTCAGTCCTGCTTACGTGGCCAGTTTGGAGAACTTAGACCTTTTCGTCTGAAAGCATTAGCCGTTTAGAGTGTTTTGGGAGAGAAAGGGCTAATGCTAACGCTAACGCTAGCGTTAGCATTCACGGCTCTCGTTTGTGCGTTTGCCGTGTTTTGTGGGGCTGGAGAGTTTCCACCGCTGCTGAACGACTATAGAGGAAACACTGTGATCAGAGCCATAGACAGAGCACCTATCTCCGGCTCTGGGTGAAGATGTTGATGAAAGGATGACGACGTTTCAGCAGCAGGCGGCCATTCAGCAGTGAGATGTGAGGAGGCGTCCCTCTCAATGACAAGAACCAAGACACGTCACGCATGACCGAGTGCAGAAGCTCAGAGCAATCTGGAGGAAAGACAACCCGCCCCGTCTACCCTCAGCCTTTGCACACGACCCGGCTGGCGGGAATCTGTACAAGCTTTCTTTGAAAAAAAAAACAAACGCGGGAAACGAGGAGAAAAAAAAAGTCTCATGAAGTGGGGTATTACACAATTCCACCATTAGCTCTCACTCTGAGCACAAAGAGCGTTTGCCGAATGTCAGGGCGGAGCCACAGCACCACAGAAGCCACATGGTCTTGGTTGTTAGCACCTATGGGATTAGCTGTACATGTGTGGTTAATCTCTCTGTGACACTCAGCAGCAGTCGTTAAAAAGCACACCCACAACACCATCAGCGGCGGCGGCGGTTACAAACACAGCGAGAAACTTACACTGGAAAAGGAAACATTTGAGTCCAGATCTGTCTGACTGTTTGGGTTGTGAAGGGACGAAGAGGACGAGGAGGAGGAAGAGGAGGAAGAGGAGGAGGAGGGCGACTTGATGTCCTCGCAGTCTTTCACTGAGACCTGGTGCTGGTCCACCAGGCCACCGTGCACCTTCAGGCCCAGACTCTGCCCCCTTTCCCCCCTCTCGCCCATCTCCACGTAGGACAGGACTTGCTTGGGACAGCATCCTTTAGCACCGTCCAGACCTTTACCTATCAGCGGCCCGCCGGCCGGACCCCCGACCAGGTGTTTGACATCCTCCCCGTCTCGGCCCCCCTGGCCCCTCTGCTTGCCGGCGGGCGTCTGGTCGCAGCATTTGGAGGCCAGCAGCAGCTTCTGGTCCATGTAGAGTCCACGGGAGTACTGGCCGTAGTACAGGGACTGGGCCAGGGCCGTCTGGGTCTGGCTCATGGTCAGCTGGAGCTGGGACTGAGGGGGGCCCTCGCCTTTCTTAGAGTCCGGGAACTCGTGGGAGGGCGCCTTCTCCTCGTCTTTCGTCTCGTCTTTGCCTTTGCAGTCGTGGGCGGAGCTCTTGTGGAAGCCGCCGCCGCCCCCCAGCCTCTCGGCCTGCATGTACCCCTGCAGGTAGTACGGCTCGTAGCCGTGGTAGAACGGGGACTGGGGCTCCTTCGGGGGCTGGGAGGCGGCGGCGGTGGCGGGCGGCGTTTTCCCAGAGGCGCCGTGGTTGCCGGTGGCGCCCACCTCGGGGGTACCCAGCGAGCCCGACTTGGACCGGAGGCCCTCGACCGAGCGGCACTCGGCGGACGCCCCGTCGTCCCCGGCGTCGGAGATGTCCGAGTAGGCGGGGCTGTTGTTCTTGCTGCCGCCGTCCGCCGCCCCAACCGCCGCCGCCGGGTCGAGCCGCGACGAGCCCCCGATGGAGGGGCTGGGGGCGTTGTCGGTGAAGGTGTAGACCTTGTCGGCCTCCGCCCGGATGCTGGCCATCCGGCTCTCCTGGCTCTCGGTGAGCCCGTTCATCACGTCCTGCTTGCTGAGGTGCTCCTTCAGGAGGCTCCCGGAGATCTCCTTCACGCCCATTTTGGCCCCCCCGCCACCGCCGCCCCCGTCCTCCATTTTGACCCCGCCGTCGCCGTTGGAGGTCCTGACGGCCACGTCTCTCTGCTTGTCCTTCAGCCTCCGCTTCTCCTTCTTCCTGGTCTCTTTGCAGGCCACCATGGCGGCTTTGACGAGACCCGGCTCCACCACGATGCTCAGCTTTGGCTTGATGGGTTTCAGGGGCAGGTTCTTACTGGTCAGGCCGACCGCCGCCATGGGAGACGGCTGCTGGGGGCTGACCACGTCCGCCGTGCCTGTCGGGTACGTGGTGTTGGGTATGGCGATGAGTTTGGGCGGCGCTGGGGCGGGCGCGATGGGCCGGTTGGCCCTGGACTTGGACAGCTTCTCCACCTTCCCGTTGGCCTTCTTGGCTCCTCCCTTCTTATCGATCAGCCCCTCGGCCTCCAGCTTGGGCATCTCCACCGAGGAGCTCCTGTCCGGGACCATGCAGTTCTCCAGGACCACGGTCATGTTGGAGATGATGGGCAGGTTGCTGAGGTCGTCCATCAGCCCGTCCTTGAGGTGGGACGACGTCCTCCTGGTCTTGGAGTTGGCCGTGGGGCTGTGGTCCGTGCTGAGGAGCAGCCGTCTGTTCTTGGGGGACCCCACCGTGGTCACCTTGTAGAGGGGAGCCGGTCTCTTCGAGGAGCCGCTGTTCATCTCCGAGAGGTCGTAGGTCATGCTGCCGATGGCGTCCTCGCAGTCGGACAGCCGGTCCTCGGCCTCGCCGTCCTTCAGGGCGTCCAGCTCGGGCTTCCTCTGCTCCTCGGCCTCCAGGTGGGCGTGGGTCTGGTGGTAGCGCAGCCCGTTGATGTGCTTGTAGCGCTTGGTGCAGTTGGGGTGCGGGCAGTCGATGAGGATGGGCGGCGGCGGCGAGGAGGCGGCGCAGCCCCCCCCCGGGTCCATGAACGAGGGGTCGGACTTGCCCTGCGGCGTGGACGGGGCGCTGCGCGACTTGGCCCGGATCCTCTTGGCGTTGGGGTTCTTGCCGTCGTCCGCGGAGACCAGGCTGAGGTCCAGGTCGGCCGGCGGCCGGTTCTTCCTCTTCCCGGAGGTCGGGGAGGCGGGCGGGGGGGCGCCGCCGGCCGGCTTCACCTCGTCCACGGCGAAGAAGGACGACGGCGGCGCCCTGCAACCGCCGCCGAGGAGGTTCAGGCTGCCCCTCCGGCCCTTGCTGTGGATGGAGGCCGCCGCCCCCCCGGCCACGCCGCCCCCCCGGCTCCGGTGGTGAGCCAGGCCCCTGGCTTTGGCCGAGGAGGCCGGGTCCAGGCAGGGCCGCTCGGCCATGGCCATCCGCATCCGTTTGCCCCGCCCACGGCCGCCGGGCAGCTCGGGGTCACTGCAGGGCGACTCGCAGAACCTGAAGAGACGGAAACAAGGCTCTGAGTTGGGTTTGCCTTCGATTATGAGGTCGACAAATACAGTAAAACCTCTACACAGGAATGTTAAAATGTTGGTATATTGGTTCAAATCTTCCATCAGAATACACAGAATTGGTTCCAAAAACCTACGATAACTCCTTAATAAATACTGCAGATAATTACACATAGCAAGAAAACAAATGACTTCTAGAAGAGAGATGGAAAAAGAAATAAATGATAAAGAAATAATCAGTAAAAAGGGTTTTTATTGGCAGGTAGAGACTGAGATACAGGACGTACCCTTACTTACTCTAACTTTACTGCCTGAACTTTAAGTTAACTTGGCTTCTTTATTTTTCTTTAATTTTTGCATTTCATTTATTTTTTTATGACTTCGACAAAACTGCATAGCTGCATAAAACCATCACAGAAGCCATGAAAGGACAGAAGATAAGACCAGAAACCCAGAAACCCAGCAGAAGGTGCTGGTTTGACCACCAGAGTGAGAATCAAAGCTCTTCATTCTGGCTTCCTGTCTCTCAGAGAACAGTAAAAAAAAAACCTCTTCATGGTCTACAATCCATCTCTGGACCAGGTTCTGGTCTCCTGCGGAGGCCCACAAAACGTCAGAAAACCGTCAAAATAAAAAAGTAATTGAACCAAATTAATGTGGATTTGTTTCCCCTGCATCTGAGCTAGAGTTGCTGTGTTTTTAATTGAGTCTTTTGGTCCCAGTTTCCCTCCAAACGGCTGATAATGAAGCAGAGAGGATGTGTTTTATCCCACCGAGTCGCATCATGAACAGTCCAAATGAAAAATGCAGTTCAGCCCCCACTTCTCCCAGACGGAGCCCTGGTTGCCATGACAACCATCAGGTACAGGCGGCAGCAGTAATCGAAACGTTTCTATCTATCTATCCACAATAAACAACAAAAAAACAACAAACCACAATAAACCACCATAAACCACCATAAACCACAATAAACCACCACAATAAACCACGATAAACCACAATAAATTATGATTAACTACGATAAACCACTATAAACCACCATAATAAACCATGATTAACCACAATAAATTATGATAAACTACGATAAACCACAATAAACTACAATAAACCACCACAATAAACCACAGTAAACCACAGTAAACCACAGTAAACCACAATAAATTATGATTAGCCACAATAAACCACGATAAACTACAATAAACCACAATAGACCACAGTAAACCACAATAAATTATGATAAACCACCATAAATCACAATAAACCACCACAATAAACCATGATTAACCACAATAAACCACAATAAAGTACAATAAACCACCACAATTAACCACAATGAACTACAATAAACCATGATATACGGCGGCGTCTGTGTTCTTTTTCAAACTTCTTCTGTACTTTTCTTCTTTCTTTTTGGATGCAGTGATTAAAACCAATAACTCACAGCTCACATGTGAAAAACCAGGAAGTCTGCGGGTACAAAAGAGAAAATCTTCCCTCCTCTAAGTGTTTTTTACAGAGTCAGAAGCTATTAAACCTGATTTATCTTTTAAGAATGTGCCTCCAAGGCCGAGAAGAAACTCATTTCTGCCCTTTTTACGACTTTTCTAAAGGAGGAGGTTTGGTTAGAGTTAAATAAAGACCACAGGAGGGACTTTTAAGGAGGAATGAATGTGTGTTTGCACCCTAACGACCTTCCCAGAGGAAAAATCACCATTATAGGAGCTGGTCTCTCTGAGCTGTCTCGACTGGGGAGGACAGATTTAGTCCAGGATGATGAATTCTTCCTGAGGGCTTCACAAACCTTTAAGGTTGGCAAAAAAACAACAACAAAAACTAGGCTTTTTTTGTTCTTTTATCCTGTACCAAGGACTTTAAAGCTTTCTGTGTGTGAAAAGAAAACAGCAGCTCAAACTGAATCAGTCCTGGTTGAAAGATCTTTAAAATAAAGTAGTTCACGAAGAGGGAAGCAGCTCCTGAGAGCCAGAGCTTTTATTTTGGTGTTTTCTTGCTTTGTTCCAGATCTGTTGATCAGGAGGAGCTGATTTAAGACTTTGTCCTGGTTCAGGTAGTTTTTCTTCATAGAGGCTCAGTGGGTTTATATTTAGATTTAAAATGTTTGTTTACAGATTTAATAAAATGTTTTTGCTGTCTGGTTCTGAGGGTCCAAATTACTTATTTACAACATTTTAATTCCACAATAGGAGTATGATTGGTGTAAAATGTCTAAAACAGTTTTTGTTTAGATTCAAACAGTAAAAAAGCAGGAAAAGCTGAGATTTCTGAGCTCTTTG